AACATAATCAGCTAATAAGCAAAAACAAAAAAAGTCAATATTTTATTCCTGCCCAACTAATAGCTCAGTTTGTTCCAGCTGTTCGTTGCCAACCAGAGAACTGAAAATTAACTGGTTTACTGACCACGTCTAATCGTCTTGTATAATGTGGAATTTCACTGAGAGAAAAAAAAAGTACAAAATTTAAGCTACTTTATGCAAATCGAAATTAGGTGCTGAGTGGTAAACCTGTATGATGTTCAACTTTCAAATTCGGCATAATTTGGACAATCATTTTTTTTATGACGCATAGTCTGCGTAGTGGGTGTTTTAAAAACAACAATTTATTTTATGACGCATAGTCTGCTTAGTGGGTGTTTTAAAAAGAACAATTTATTTTAAGGTTATTGTTAAAAATGATCTTTACTATAGAATAGAAAATTTATTTTATTATTTACGCCTGAAACATGTAAAAAAAAGATCTCAAATGTTGCACGTTGCTAACTGTTGTAGTTCGAAAAATAAAATATAAGTTTAATATTTGAAACCAGAAAATGATTTCAAAAATCTGCATTGAATAGAATCATTTCTTAAAATAATGTGGTATTTTTCTCATCAAGTCTCGTTACCAAAGCGAGTAAAAAGTTGAAGCTTTAAAAAAAAAAAAAAAAAAAAACTTTTGTTTTCTCTAAAGAAAATAGAACAATGCTTTAATAATATACGCTTAAGTATCCAATAAGTATCATATACTGGAAGGCTCGTTAATTTTAAAGAACCAAACGATAAATTAATTTTAATCATATAAGGGGAAAAAAAGACCAATAAACACAATGAATTCGTGTAATTGGATACCTGCAAGTGATGTCATTGTTGGTAAATCCAGGCATTTTTCGATTCAAAAGCCAATCAGAATCTACACACTCGCGTGACATTTCTTACAAGCATCCAATTGAACTTGATTTAAATCACGTGGTTATACATAATCACTTCACTTCTCCTCGAGTTGCAAATATTCAATTAAAAAGTTTTTTAATAACATGCCCTTTCTTATTATAAAAGTTAGAAATAAAAATTGAAAAAAACGATTCAGAAAATCTTTTTGCTAAGAATCATTTGCTGAAAAAATTGTGTCATTTTATCTCATTAAAGTATTATTTTTGATTAAAACAATATTTCAGAAAAGATAACAACAGAAAAGTATATAATTAAGAATTTAAATAAATAAAAAGATGAATTTTTACTTCATTTTGAAGACTGAAACATTTTTTATTTATTCTCAAGACAAAAGGATATCAAAATAATATACATAAAATCACTTTAAACATCCAATTTATACCAGATATATTATACTGAATATTGAAAGAAGACAATGGCTCTTGAATTCTAAAAGACGCAAACGATAATTATTTTCAATCATATAAAATTTATTAAAGAAAAAAACATTAGGCTCAATGATTTCGCGCATCCCCAATGAGCCAATTAAATTTAAGTGAGCCGCGAGGTTAAAGAAAAATTCACGGTCATAGATTACATAGAAGAAAAGCGTAAATATCATTATCTAACAGCAAGTTCAAAGCTAATAAATAAAAAATCGAACAACGAAGCAAAAGGAATAAGTAGGAAGAACAAAAAAGAAAGATTACAATTGAATCGCTCATGTTTGAAATTCGAGGTACTATCCCTTTGAGTCCGTCGACCACGTGCTTGTCACGCAGTTTGTGCATGGCCCTGTGACGTCACTCCCAGCTGAGAGTTTTACGGTTGGCCATCTATTCTGCACGTGACCGCAGCATGCTCTCCGGAGATGAGATGAAAATAACAAACCATGATTTGGCAACCGTATTGCCTTTCTTGGCGAAAAATGATTTTTACTACGAAACTTTTTATGTTTCCTGTAAACACATGAATTTTTTTCTTAAATTTTTAAATTCTTAATAAAATATTTTCCTTTTCTTTTAATCGTATCTTTGTATCTTAAATAATTTTTTTTTCGTTTTAGAGTAGCTGAAGAATACCCTTTGTAAATAACTATTTTTAAAACTTTTTTTAATGCATATAATTTTCAATATTAAAATATTAAGTGTATTTACATTCAAGTATTCACAATTTTTTTTCTTTTGTAATAAGGAAGAGAAACAGCTTTTTCCCGTTAAGTGATACGAAGAGAATTTTATTAGAAAATTATTTTTTAAAGTCATGTTCCAGAAGAAAGTGAATATATTTATATATATATTCACTTTTATACATATATATACATATATTATTGTTTATTTAACTATTTATTTAGAATTGCAATACAATTATTGCCTCAAATTTTTTTTCTCTCAAAATTAAGTAGTTGAAAAATTGTATGACTTTGCTAGCTTAAGCGTCTGAATTTATAAAACACGCTTTTAAAACTTTTAAGTATTACTTTTTATTTACTTTCTTAGACATTTATGTATCTTATTCATGTGTATGTATCTTATTCATAAACGAAAACATGTTTTGCTGTTTTAATTGATTTTTAACGTCGAATGTGTTGTAAGATTGTTATAATGTTTCAAGATGGAATGTATTCATTATAAGGGAAATTAACATTGAGGGGCTCAAACTTTTGACTGCTCTCCTGTCCAAATTTTGGAAACCATATTTTCACGATTGTGGCTAATTCACCACCCGGTTCTAAATTTTTGAAAGTTTGGAGCCCTAATCTATCAAAAAAAGCGTTATTTTAATTATTTATATATGAATATATATTTTTAAAAAAGTACGTTTTTGTGTTTAACTTTACAACTTAAAATATCATCTGCTTTCGAATATGTGAAAATTTGATAATTCGATCAAACATTATATAGGGTGTTCGTTTTTTGAGAAATTTTATTCGGCAAAACTGTGTTTATTGTTTTTATACTTTTTTTCCAACTAAAAATCATTTTTCAGACATTTTTTTATTTTTCTAAAATTTGCATTTTTGTGTTTTATTTCCTATCTTGAAATATCATCTGCTTTGTAATGTGTGAAAATTTGATCATTAGATCAAACCTTATATAGGGTGTTCGTTTTTTGAGGAATTTTCATTCAGCGAAACTGTGTTTATTGTTTTTATACTTCTTTTCCAACTAAAAATCATTTTTGTTATTTTTTTTAAAATGTACGTTTTTGTGTTTAACTTCACAACTTAAAATATCATCTGCTTTCTAAAATGTGAAAATTTGATAATTCGATCAATCATTATATTGGGTGTTCGTTTTTTGAGGAATTTTCATCCAACAAAACTGTGTTAATTGTTTTGATACTTTTTTTTCAACTAAAAATCATTTTTTTAAAAAAAAATTTATAATTTATTTAGGAAGTACGCTTTTGTGTTTAACTTCACAACTTAAAATATCATCTGCTTCCTTACGTAAAAAAATTTGATCATTAGATCAAACGTTATATAGGGAATCTGTCTTTTGATCAATTTTCATTCAGCAAAACTGTGTTTGTTTTTATGCTTTCTTGAATATTAAAATTTTTTAAGCATTTCTTTTTGAGAAAAAGGTTTACTTGCACAGACAAAACATAAGTTGCCTATAATAATGAGCATATCCTTCAATTATCATAAAGGATAAGATTTCAGACGAAGAGTAATAATGAATTTTCACATCTTGAAAAGAAATTAAGGTTTATTTTCTTTAAAACATTTTTAATTTCTTTTACTCAAAATTAGTTTTTATACTGCAATTTTTTGCCTAACTCGACATTTCACTCTCTAACTAAAATCTTCGTACAAAATTAATAATAATAATTTTATTTATTTCGAATCATTTTATTTTTTGATAAGTAACGTTGAAAAAATAAATATATCAATTAATTTTTTTTTTCTGACAAAAAGAAAATAAAAAAAAAGCTAGTGTGTATTGCTATTGCATTATTTCAGTCTCCTGTCCCCATTTTGGAAAGTTTTTAATTATTATTTTCCACTCGTATTTTAATTAGGGCATCAACTAACAGTTGCGTGTAAGGAATTTGAAAACAAAAAAATGATTCAACAAAATGTCTTGAATTGTTAATGTTTTGATTAGTTTATACTTTGAAAAATACTCTTTCAACTTTTTTTTAAACCTTAAATCCCACTAAATTTTTAAGAAAAAAAAATTTACAAAATTATTTATACTGCATTTATAATTTTAGTTTAAAATTTTGAAGAATAGAAAAGAAGAAAAAAACAAGCTTTGTTAAATGATATCTATGATCCTTACAGAAAAATGTGCACATATTTAAAAACTATAAGGATTCTATTTTCACAATAAAAAATTTAAATTTTGTTTGCAATAAATGCTTCTAATTTTTATATTTTAAAACATAAGAAACTACGTATATTTTCCGTATTTTGCATTAATATAATTTCTTTTCAAAATTTTGAAATATTTTGTTGATAGTTACAACACAAATTTATTTAATACTTTAAAATCAGATATTTTGCTAAAATTTTTTTTATTAATGCGCAAAATTTTAATTCAAACATTTTTATAACAATATTTTCTTTCGTGTGAAATATCTTCATCTTAATTTTCATAACTTTTATTATTTACTTTATTTATTTACTTTTACTCTATTGTTTACATTATATCCCATGTCGTTAAAAGTTTTGTTTTTCTCTTGTCTTTCAGGTTCTGTTGAAAATTCGGATAGAAACATCATCAAAGCATGACACATACTTGCATAAAAAGGAGAAAATAATTTGTTTGAGTCGAATTCCCATATATCGTCGTATTTTTTTTTAGTAAAAATTTTTAAATATTGAAATTTTTTGGAGAAACTATGCCATAATACACGTGAACAAATTCTGATAGTTTGACTTCCTTTCTTAAATTCCCTTGAACTGAAAACCGAAAGGAAAAAAAGAAAATTTGCGGAGTTGAAATCCGTGTCCGCTGAAAGCACGAGGTTCCCACGCCTTGGCGATATTTTGGCGACGAGATCTGACACTCCATTCGATCAGGCAACCATACGAGAAAGAGGAGAAGGCGTGAGGATAGGAGTGAGAAATTGTTATTGGACATTTAAAAGAAACTTATAAGTTCGCGTAAGCGCTTATCATTCAATTCACGAAAGCCTTATCAATTCGGAGGTGTGAGCTTCTTCTACTACACCCTGGATTATTATCTTTCTTTAAAGCCGTGGTCGGCAACTAGATAGGTTCATATTTTTACTGCTAAAGCTATATGCAATTGGAACTTGAAATTTTTTCATCATGGGTGATATCATCGCAGATCCCTCAACTACTGCCCGGTGGTCAGCTGCTATGCAAACTGACAAAATAGTGCCACAGTGGAGTTTGAGACAAAGCTGCCTGTGCACTGTTAAAGATGGTTTATTGGGTTGGAGCAGAGGCCGAAGGAACAGTGTTACTCATAATTCCAGCACCGAAAATCCTTTCCTGGATTATCCCATAGATTTAAAACATGAACTCCTCAATCATTTGTTGCGTCTGAAACCTACAGGTCGAGAGTTGTTGAAAGCTGCAGAATTACTCCTTTCTTCAGGAATACCTTCTTTTGACTTGAGCTGCATGGACGATTGCAAATTTTCCGATGTTCAAAATATACTTCAACTTCTAATTCGAACTGGTAATTGCTTGCAGGAGCTTATTCTTGCTGGACAGTGGCTGTACCATGCATCCAGTGCACCTTTGGTGCAAGACATGCTGCGATCCTGTCCTAACCTCCGTTACATAAAACTGCAACAAACATCCCATTCAGCTCATGAGGTGGAAATAGCCCTGAAGCATTGTCCTAAGTTGACTAGATTGGAAATCATGCATCCTTCTCTGGATGAAGAGGACATCGACTCTTTGTGTGAAGTCATGTTGCGTGATCCTGATTACAAACATGCCAAAGAACTGATTAAAGAAATTAAACTGCCTTCTTCAGTTAATGGAAAAGGTGTGCTCAAGCTTATGGAATCATTCCCCAACTTGGAATACATTTCTTGTACTTACCTCGATCAAATTATTGATGAACTAGAAGAAAATTACAATACCCCGTATTGGCGGGAAAGATGCTCAAAACTACGTGGACTCCATATTTCTTTACCTGTCTGTGAAGATACACCTGGTTTGCTAGTTGACTGGTTCCCAAATCTGGAAGAACTATCTTTGGAAGTGCAGGAAGACATGCAAATTCAACCCATAAGCCAATTAAAACAATTGCAGTCGTTAGAACTAAAAAACAGTCCTACAATTTCATTATCTTATATGGATGAAATTCTTCCTCTTCTTTCTTCTTGTGGCAAAAACCTTACCAGCTTGAGCTTAGAACGTTTTGATTTAATTGACCTTGCAAAAACCGCTACTTACTGCCCAAATCTAAGGTCCTTCAGTGCCCAATGGTTCACCATTTTAAGTACAAGTGTCGGTAGAGGTTCAAAAAAACAGTTCTTTAATCTGAGGTATCTTCGTCTAAGACCCAGGGTCAACAGAAGAGTGACCCCTGAAGCTTGCGAACTTCTCTTGACCAACAGCCAGTGCCTTAAACATTTGGAATTTTACTGCAGCTATGGACTAACAGACACTCTTGTCAATAAATTGCTCAAAACGAATAAATTCACGCAGCTTAGAAATCTTCTTTTGCGTCATGGTCATGGACTTTCTTCGAATGGCATCCTGCAGCTCACTAGAGCCGCACAAAATCTTCGCATTTGGGATGTTGGTATGATCACTTCCAAACAAATCGATACGTGAATTCCTATAAGTTCAATAACCCCCGGTGTAAATTGTGAAGAATAATTTCAACTAGTCATTAAATATGCAGCACTGCCAAAGAACTTAGTGAACTTAAGTAAACTTGATTAAGTGCGAATTTGAGATTCTGAACCAAGTTCCGTTATTACAAATGTGTGCCTAGTGGATTAATTGTGATTTGAAGCTAAAATGCCATATTTAAACAGAACTTGAACATTCTATCATCAACATTCCGGTGTAAATAATATTCCATGTCCATTTTTTTGTAAAATCAGGGTTTTTCACAAAAAACACAAGGTAATAAGTTATTTTTTAATATTCATATGTGTAATTTTTCATAACTTTTCGGTGATTTATTAAATTGTTTTCTAATTAAATTTTATGAATGGCTTGCAAATGAAATATACAACATGCATTGATTTCTTATTAATTATCATTGTCATATTTTAGTAAAAAGAAAAACTTCCTTAAATTTGATATTAGTAATTTTAAACACGTGGTAGTTTTTCTTCGGTATTATTATAAAAAAATAATTATTAATGTTTAAAACTTTTTGTATTTGCATATATATATTTAATGAATTATTATTAATTTGTAAAATAATACATATTCTGTTTCTTTTTCTTAAAATTCATGTAATATTTTAGTGAAAAAAATGCTTTTGAGTGTGTTTTTGTGAGAAGATAATATTAAAAGTACCATTTATCTGCATATTTTAAGTAATATATTATTTTTATATATTTTTTCGTACACGAGTGATATTAATTTGTTAAATTGTTAAATATAAACTAGTGAATTTTTTAGAATTTTTATTGAGTTAAAATAATTTTTTTTCGGTTGGTAAAAGGTATGAATTTGATGTATCAATTAAAATATCCATTCTGTGCCTTCTTTTAACTATTAAAATATCCTATGATTTATGCATTTTTTTGTTTGAAGTTAATAAGTGATATTATTTAATTAAAAAATAGTCTATAATTTGTTTAAAATGTGCAATATTTACGTTTATATTTTTCTTAAGATTAAGTGACTAAGTTATTAAAATATATAGTTAAATACTTTAACTATAACATTAGTAATTAAAAATCTTTTTTTTTTATCCTAAGTTACCCAATTAATTATTAAAAACGGTGAATTTTTATCCTAAGATACCTTATAAATATAAACAAGGAATTTTTATCATTCCCAATTAATTTCAAAAGAAACAATTTCTGTGTTATTGCCAAAGGCTAAAAATAATATATTTTATTTAGAACTTTAAAAAAAATTGAATAACTGATAGTATTATAATGTCTCTTAGTAATCTTTGAACATATATAGACAATAATAATAATTTTATGGATGTTTTAATAAGTTGATATAATGCTCACTTGTCTTAAATGGAAAGATAATAAGTATTTAGTTTTGTATGAATGCTTTAAATGAAAAATTCCTTTGACTAATTTGTATAAAATTTTTATGCTCATGAATGTTTGGATGGTGAAAAATTTTATATAGTACACCAAGTTAATATGCCAATTATGTTTAGCATATAGTATATACATAGTGAATTTGAATTATAATGCCAATTATACAATTTTTATAGAATATGATTGAACATTTTATATTTCATGTTTTACTTATTGACCAAAAAAATCTAAATGACCAATTTAAAAATGTTCTTTTTGTGAAATAAATATTGTTAAGATTTTTTGTAACATTCATTCCATAAATTTAATGCAGTCAATGGAATATATTTTTATACATCATTTATTTTTGTAATCTTCAAAGAAAAGTTTATAAACCATTCCCTATACTTGACTTCAGAATGTAATCTTCTGCATTTGTTAAATATTTTACGACAGACTGTTCTGATTACTGTGATATATGTCGACCACATCTTTGAACATGTTTTCATATTGTGAAACGTTTCTTCAATTGTTTAATGAAATGAAAGCTTTTCTATTAAATAATTTATAACTTTTTAATCTTGTCTTTTATTTGTGTTTTTTTTTAAAATTTTGCACAACATATAGTGTGACACATTTAATGTTTCCAGTTTCTGTAGTTCTCCACTGAAGATCTGACACTAAATAGTCAGAATTTTAACTGTAGCATTTGTTTATTTCTGAAATGAGAAAGCTAAAAATCCTAACTATAATTAATTTATAATCATATTAAACAATCTTTCGAAGGAATTGTGGAATTGTTCAATTGCTCGATAAACTTTTAAAAACATTTGCGAATGGAAATATATGATGATTATTGTTTGTGATTTAAATGACTTAGAGAATAATTATTTATGAGCTTCCAAAGTTTAAAAAATATTTATTTAATCTAACAAGATAATATTTATTAATAACTCATAATTTTATACATATTTTTATAATAAAACAGTACATAATTTTTACTTATATAATTAATCTCCAAGATAAAACAATATTATATATTTATTTTACAAAATGGTTTTCTAGTATGTAATGGTTTTCTAGTATGTAATTATTTCACTTAAAATTAACTCAATGAATAATCAAATTTACAAATTATTATATAAAAAAAGTATGTAAAGAAATTGAGTTGCCTAATGAAACTTTTCGTTTAAAATTAACTCAATGATCATTAAAAGGATTCAAAGAAAACGTAAATTTACAATTTATAAGTAAAAAAGGCTTTCATGTAAATGAAAATTATTTTCTATATTAAAGATATTACCTAACAATCACATGAAGGCATTTTATGGAAGAAAAACAAACTCACATAAATACATATTTAGCTGTTCTAACAAGGGTAAGTAAGTTTAAGTGAGTAAGTTTTATTTATTTTATTTTTTAAAAATGCATTCGAATCGCTTATCTTAGGAACAAGAATTCAAGAGAATATATAAATTAATTCATTTAAATTCTTGCTCACAAGATTGTAAATTAATTCTAATTAAAAAATATTCTAATAAAATAAAATTTTCATATTTTGAATAAAAAAAACGTTTTTCCATTACTTGTACAATGCGAAAACAAAATGTATCACCCTTAATAACTTTTGATCTAATGATCAGATCTCCACATACTAAGAAGATAATTTGAGGAGGGACCTCAGATATGCTAATTAATTTCCTTTAGATGATATTTTAAGTTACGAAATTAGAGAAGAAAAACGTATACAAATAGAGTACCGCTAAATCCCCCAAAAATTAACTAAACTTGATTCTGAAACGTGAAATCTGCGAAAGGTCATTTATTTTAATAAAGTATGTTCCAATTTTTTTTTCAAGTAATCAGCTTACGAATTATTACTAAAATCCGATCTAACGAAAATACAAAAGACATTTTCATGAAGAAAGAAAAAAAAAAAAAAACTGCATAATTGAAAGTTTTTTCCCCCTCCAAAAACTGTGTTTTTTTTTATAATTTTCTATAATATTTTAAATGTGTTCACCTGTGTAAGTTTTATTATTTTCGAAAAAGATCACAATTTTTAGGACTAACGAATTTGGAAATCATTTACTTATGAAACCTTTTTTTTTATACCTTAATAATAATTTTTTTTTGTTGAATGAAAATAATACCATAAACACACATTTTGTCGTTTCTGCATATAATAAAACATCAAAACGCTTCTCTTGAATTGCATGATTTCTACCAGGGCCCGACTTAGCCTAATTGGGGCACCGGGGCAAAAACTTCTCTGGGGTCCCTCTGCTTCACTATGAAGAACCGAACTTAATGGAGGTATTTGAATTTTTTACGTCGTTATAGACAACATAAGAAGAAAATTGACTAGTACCTAAAATAGCTATATAGTCCCCCCCCCCAATGATCAGACGAAATATCGTTCTGTCCATTTTATTGATTTCCTGACAATTCTATGTACGTTATGCCGAATGCAGTTTTCTGATTGTCATCTAGCTGCGAAAAATTCATATCTTTGCTTGAACTCAGCTAAATTTTCGCAATTACGATGGATCAATTAAGCCTATCAAAAGCCTTTTTTTAATAAGCATATCGCTATTTGTGATCTGTAAAAATACAGTCTTTTGATTGGTCAAATTTACCCATCGTAATTGCGAATATGTAGCTGAATGAAGCCATGGATTTACGAAATATAGATTTTTTATTATGTCCATGCGATCGAGTATTGAAGAAGCTAACATAAAACTGACGGATTTTACGCTGAACTGATATTTTGTTTAAAAAAAGTTTATTAAAGATGGAAACGTAAAATAAACTTTCCATTCGATTTGGATCCATATGGAGGCCCTAGGCTACTGCCCCGTATGCCCCTGCCTCAGTCAGGCTCCGATTTCTACAGAGTTGCGTGAAGCTTTAAAGTCAATTTTACCTCGCTTTTTTTGAAAAAGTTAATTTTAACACGATTCTTTTGAAAAAGTTAATTTTAACAAGTTTCTTTTAGAAAAGTTAATCTCCTGGGAACGCAAAGGACTGTTCAATATTCATATATTCCAGGGAAAACAAGTTAAAATGAATTTTTCTGAATGAAAAGGAATACATGGAGAAAAAAGTTGCTTGCAGAAGAAACAGAGAACAAATTAAAAGTGACGATAAAACAAAAAAGTAAAGATTTTTCCGTCTTCAACTGTAAACAAAAGTTTTTTTCTTCTCTTTTTTCCTTAAATTTTTTTTTTTAAAATCTGTTTCAAAAAAAAAATATATTATAATTTTTCTGGCTACTGTTTTTATCTACCTGTGATGATATGGTAATGAATTTCATTTGAAGAAATTTTAAATAGGCACAAATCAAAGCTCCTTAAAATACAATTCTAATAGTTTCTTTCCTTAAAAATGAAAAGATTTTATTTTTATATTATCATATGCAAGTTATATCTTTCCTTCTGATTACTTTATTGGATTGAGTATAAGCAACTGTTTTATTCTTCTTTTGGACAAAGCTAAATGTTGTTTCGTATGACACTTGAACAAGACAAGCACGCTTACCATTGGCCTTTGCGAATTAAATCGGGAAGGTGCGCCTTTCGTTTGACAAGAGAACACCGCGAGGGTGAAAGTACGTCTTAGCACAAAATCGCCCGGTTAAGACCACTAGCCTGATCGCAGAATTTGCAGAGCCAATTTGCAGGAATTTAAATTTGTGTGCGACTCCTAAAACAGGTAGACCGTAACTTATTATTGTAAAAATTTGTCTTACCACAAACTAGAACACATAAGGCGGATAAAAAAATTATACGAAAAAAGAAATTTAAAAAGTTGTTACTTTAATAAAATGTTTTCACATTATTTTAATTGAATGAAATAATTAAAAGTTGTAAATAAAATAAAATAAA